TGGAAAATAAGGTTATTACATTTTACTTCGATAATGTTCCAAGGTGACATTAGGTGCTTAAAATGTCAGATTGTGTAACATTTGCTTAAGATTTTGCTTTTTGTCTTCAAAACTATTTAAAAGAATGGGCATAGTTGTAAGGCATCTCAGCAGTCCTTCAAATCGTAGCTTCCCATCTTGTGATCCTTATTTGGAGTAGTTCTGTGAAGTCAAAGTAGCATGGTCATGACCTGCATTTTGTGTGAGAACTTGAACTGTAAATATACAGCCCCTTGGTCGCTTGGGTGTTGGTGGTTCAGAGTGGTTGGCAGACCCATATGAGTGTGGGTGAAGAGTCCCGGATGGATGTGAGGGGGATGAGTTTATGTGATGTTATTTTCAATGGAATAGCTAGACTTACATTTTAAAATGTACACTTTATTTGGGAAACTATTACAAGAGTTCTTGGGAGCATTTTTATATTGTACTTTTGGGGGGAGTGTAGGTTGGAGTTCTCAATCTACCGGGCAGTCCTTCTGTGCTTGTCTTTTTCCAGCCCTTTCCTTTTGGATGGAGTTCCCAGGAAGGAATTGATTTTTAGAATGAAAAATAGTAGGGTGAGGCAAGATGAATTGTTCTGGCCTTCATCTTGTTTTCCTAAAACGCTCGTGTCTTTGCCTGGTCACAGGCTGGTGGAGCATCCGTGAAGTACCCTCCCCTTATTAATAATGTCCTGGCCATGCCTCCTTTTTTCTGATTTGAGAACAAACCCCTCATCCCTAGAGACTGCCTGGGATGTTGGCCAAGCTTGTGAAACCCTCAAAAGCAGCCAGGTTACTCCAAGAACTTGGTGTTGCTGAGTGAGAAGAAAAAGGAGCAGCAGCCTTTACATTTTTTTTTTTTTTAATTTGTGTGGGGGTAGAAATAATATCAGTTTAGGGTTTTGTTTATTTCTGTTATAAGGATGTAAACATTATAGGCACGTAGTAGAAGAGCCTGTTAACCAATGTCCTTCCATAATTCCATAAAGGAAACAAGTTCATGTTTCCTCACTACTACAAAACACAGATCCTGTTAACCCAACCCCCCCGATTTTGCCACTCTCAACTGCCATGTGAGGTTCAGTCTATAGCTCTTTTAAAATTTCATGCCTAAGAACAGAGAGCCAAGGAGAGGTTTTGGAGGTGGCTTGAGCTGATTCACCATCTGGATGTTATTGCAAGGGACAGTCTGGGCTTGGTCCTGCCCTTTTCCTTCTACCAGCACTGGTGCTGAGCCTGCTTTGACTCACTAAACCAAGAGATTTCTCTTGGAATATATTCTGCTGTGGTAGCTGAGATACCCACTGTAGCAAACTGCTGCCTTTCAGCAAATACAGCTGCAACTGTTTGCTTAAAATGAGCTGGGGGATTTATGAAAACAACCAGAAAAGTTGAATCGTTTCCTTTTTTTCTTTTTTTTAAATTTTCCTCTACTGGGTAGCATTGACTTTGATAAGCAGTCTCTGCACCTAGAGATGTTCTTATGCATGAGGATGTAGCCAAGACATTTGGGGATGTTCACCTTGTGCTTAAGAGGGAAATTTGGTGTCCGGGAACTGAGCACACACTGCCCAAAGTGCCTGGGGGCAGGAGCAGCAGAAGTGAATGCCCCTGGTTTCATTCTTGCCCATAATAAAGTCACTGCTGGAGCTTAGTACAACGATCATGAGGTTTAACAGGTCCCTTACTGCACTTAAATCACATGGCTGGGTTGTAATGAACATGCTGAAGTGAAAAAACAGCCCTTTCCTTAAAATAAGAAAACACAGGCACAGAAAACATCCTTTGTTTTTTAAAAATGAACCATTGCACTTGGGACTCTTTCATGGTCAAAATTTTAGCAGGTGGGACTCTTATTCTTCTCTCTTCCTCCCGTATTTTTTAACTAATTAGGAGCAAGTCTTTTAACTCTTTTCATGCTTCTATTAATTATTTGGGGGTCTCTCTGTTACAGGGCACACTTTGCTCATTACTGGTTTCCTACAGCTGATGTTGACAGGTTCTTGCTGCCCTTGGAGAGGAGCCATGGGCTCAGGTTGCTGCTCTCCGGGTTGAGGGTGATGCCTTGTTTGCTCAGAGCTGGACACGTGCTCAGCTCGTGGTGTTGCTTTGTGCAAATGATTCAACCCTTGTTGTGTACAAGTAATGCAGTAATTTCTTGGCCAGGGATGGGGAAGATGGATGTGTTTTCCAAGTGCTGGCCCATGACTTGCAAAATCTGGATGTTCTTCATGGCTTTGCTGCCAACGTACTGCATGACCTTAAGTAAGTTATTTAGGGTAAAACCTAAACTGTTGGTGTTAGGTAATACTCATGGACAGTCTGCAAGGAAGATCCTCCAGTCTGAGGGGGAAGCAGAAGGCTGCTGAGAGCCTGAAGTGGAGTGAGCTGGAGATGAAGTTGGGATCTTCCCAGAAGGCAATGTGCTTAGTCTTAACAATTTGGTGCCTTTTAAAAGTAGAGCCCAGAGAACTGAAAACTTGTCTTTTTAGGCATGTGCTGGGCACAAGATTTTGAATTTCATTTGCACCTTGAACTGGGAAGCAATATGGCAGTATCTTCTCCTTACATCCAGGGGCAGAAGGTGCTGAGGATCCTCCACACTATGAAGGAAGATACTTATAATGAACATTAATTATCTGCCATTAGTTTATCTGTTACAATCTGACTAGAAAAGCCTGGCTGTAGAATTAAGACTGTAAAAGCATAACGTGCAAGATGCTGGTCACTGAGCTCTTCCATAGCCCTTGACTCCTGCTGCTGTCCAGCTGGGCTTAAAGGCAGATGATGGGAGTGATGTAAGTGGTGCCATGTATGCAAGAGGGGGGTATTAAAGATATTAAAGAAAGAAAACAAAGAAATGACGTTTTCGCTTGTTGGACAGTGAGGACTGCTGGGCTGGTCTCCCAGGAGAAGTGAGCAAAGTACATATTGACACATTTGTGGTGGAGCTGGGACAAAAAGCCCTCCTGCTGCTCCAGGCACAGCATGACGAGGGGCTGGGTCAGTGGGGCAAGACTCATTTCTCTGGTGACAGGGATTCATCTCTCTTCGCGTGGTCATAGTTTAGAAGTAACTGGTTTATGGAGAAAACAGCTCAAGAATTTGAGGCACGTGTTCTTGCCATAGAGAAATAGGTTTTATGGGCATTTTGAATGTCATAAAGTTATCAGAGTGGCTGAGGTTGGCTGTGTAATTAGTGGGATGGGAGCTATTTTGAGAGATTCAAATCCTTTTCCAAAATGTTTTCATCAGCTCAGGGATTTGGGTCAGACCTTCTTCAGCTTTGGTTCTTTTACCCGGGGGGACATTAGGGAATATTTCATTTTCCAACTTTCCCCATCACTGGAAAAACACTAGAAGGAAGAACAACAAAATTCGGATTCCTTTTTCTGTGAATTGGCAGACTTCAGCTGCAACTCCATCTGTGAGCCTGTCTGCAGACTTCCAGTTGCCTTGTACTGACTTGCATGCTGGGTTTTGTAACAACAAAAACACATTACGAAGACACAAGATTTTCATCGGTCATGGTGTTGCCCCGTTGGTGGCACCACAAACTAGGTTAGTTGGGTTGTGGCAGGGCTGCATCTTTCCTGCAGAGAAAGCAATTTTGATTGTTTTCCCAAGGGAGGAAGAATTTTTGATTCAAAGTAGGTTTTGTACTTGAGGTGATTTAAACATAATCAAAGTCAGTGGAATTTTATTTAAAATAAACACGATTCTCCTAATCAACCCTTAAAAGAGAACATCTGGGGAAAAAATGATGCGTTTTTGTAGATTTAATTATTCACTTGATTTTTTTCCTTTTCAATATCTGATGATGCTTCCGCTGTTTGAGGATAGATAGGACTTTATTGACACAATTAGCAAAACAAATGATTATCACACCTTTTCCTTAACCCTGTGCTATTTGATCTATTTGCTTGCACTTTCATTACTCCTTTGCTTGGTTACATTACACAATGTTATCACCTTCCTGTGCTGCTGCAGCTAAAACAAAGTGAAAAAAAACCCCTTTTGGCTCTCAGCTGCTCTCTGCTGTATTTTTTGTACAGATGAACTAGAAAGCAATGTTGGGCAAAGAGTTATTTGAGTTTCCTTTCAATGCTTGCTGGGCATTATTTTCGGGCTTGGCACTTGCCTGTGTTTATGTGACAGTTTTTTCATATTTTAAAATAACAAACAAAAATCCCAGCAACTCTATTCCCAGTACAATTAGTAGGATCAGATTAAAAGAACTGAAAAAACAAACAACCAAACCCCTCCAGATTATGATGCATTTATATACATCAAGTACTTGATTCTTTATGACTAATCCCCTGGTTGTTCTGAGCCACTTTGCTGGGATGTGTTTACTTTCTCTGAAGGTAGAGGTGGGAAGCATAGCTCTGCCTGGTTGGAGGTCACAATGGGTTGTTGTACTCAATAGCTGAGTGTTTCAGCTGTGTCAGGGATAGGATCCCACTGATGGATTGGGCCAGACCTTGATGCAGATTCCTGATGGTATGATTCTCCTGATGGGGGATAGACATTTTCCTCTGAAGTCAGGAAGGTAGGTGGTCCTGTGGATCTGCTGCCTTACAACCCTCTCCATCATCTCTTTGCTGGTAGAGAAAATACTTCATTAGCTTTAGAAGAGGTAAAAAAAAGGATAGGGGAGGAAAACTGTCTGCTTTCATCTGACAAAAAAGAAGAGAGTTTGGTTAGGTGAGAACTTTTTCCAGTTACTGGCTTGTTGTCCTCCTCTCACATCACCTGGCACCTGTGAGGCATCTGGAGGTGGTGGCCCCATGTTATGCCTGTACTCACTGTGACATTAATTTAAATAAATCACACAAATTAAAATAAAAAAGAAAAAAATCCAAAAAGCTTCCTTCTGTGCAAAAATAAATCAAAATATATGAGTTTGCATGGGAATAAGCCTCGTCCAATGTGATAAGAGTTGTTGTGTAATGGCCTGTCCCTTTCCTCTCTCTGAAGGTACCAATCCCATGCATCCCACTGGCCTGGAGTAACATTTGGAGCAGCCTGGCAGTGCGATCCTTTTGGTAACTTTCAAGGATTTTTGGGATCATGGGATGCATGGACATACAGACCCATGAAGCCCTCTGGAGAATGCTGGTTGTGGATAAAAGCATCTTCAAGTTCTTACCATCTTTTTACCCTGTTTTTTCCTGGGTCACCTTGTGTCATTTGGGAAGGAAGCCTCTCTGTCCTGAGGATTATAGCGTACCAGTCACTTAGTGGAATACCTCCCCAGTCATCTTCTCGAGATGGAGCCATTGCTTTACCAAACTGGAAGATATCTTTTCTTCTCCCAGAGCTTTTCCAGTGCAGCAGCACTCCTGTCCAGCAGGTATGTAGATGGTTTTCTCATTGACTAGCCAGTTTGCTTTCTTGATCTTTAGGAGTTCAATCATTTTTTTTTGGCTTACTAGTGTCTGCTAAAGGTAAGACCTTCCAAAGTTCTTGGTGCCATGCTCCGTAGGTGTCTTTTCCTTGTTGGGTCAGACCCAATTTGAGATGTAGGTTTGTGTGGAGCAGTGATGTCAGCTTCTTCTGAAGGTTTTGATACCCAACCTTAGCCTTATGTATGAGGAGAGAGATGGATTTGTTACTTCTTATTCCTCCTCCTGGATCCTCCTGGACTCTTGGGCAGCTGTGTTTGTAACCCACAGCTGGCACCAGCTGTGTGTGGATCAGTTTCTTGGGCTTCCTTGTCTCATTTCAAAGAAGATGACACAAATGTTTAATCTATTTTTCATCTTCCTAATTTAACAGTATTTCTGCTGAAGAATGTAGTTTAGAGGTGCCTTTAGCTCTCCACGTTAAAACTATTCCTATTCAATATAGATGTGGACAACTCAATAGCAGTAGTGACAACGGCCAAATTTGCATTTTTAGTCATCTACAATGAGTTAGGTATTTTTCTAAAGGTGACAAGGTTTTTTCCATTTTCTTTGATAGCAGAACTGGATCACTATTTTTGTCCCTGTGGTTATCAATTTGCTGTGAAAATCATCCTTTTTGGCTCTTGTGCTGGTTTTGTCAAATGCTTATGTGTGCTGGTGAACAGATCGCTCCTTCTATGGGGTGGACAAAAAATTAACTCTTGGTACCTAACTTACTTATTTTTACTATACAAAGAGGAGGTGCTAAAGGGAAAGGGCTGAAAATGCTTTGTAGATTTATTCTGCATTCCCCTCAGCATTTGTGAGCCATTAAAAGTTTCATTTTCTTGCTTCGTAAGCGCAATTTTGCATCAAAGGAAGGAAATGCGAGGGGGGGGCCTGGTGAGTAGAGCATGTTCAGGGGGAAGCAAAATCAGTTGCCTCACTCTTGAATTTGACCTCAACTCATAGGCCAAATGGAGATGGTAGACAAAGATTGGCGATAAAAATAGAAGCAAAGTCTCATAAAGGCTTGCTGTGCCTGTGAGAGGCTGGAACTAACCCTGGGGATTTGGTGAACAGCAGCATCATCCCAGGTTGGTGGGGATGGTCTATGGTCAAGCCCTGTACACCATGGTCATGTGCTAAGGCAGAGCTTTCTCCAGCAGGGCTGCCTGGAGGTTCAGCCCAGCAGTGTCAGACCATTGCACTTGCTTTCATGGGCTTTGTGCTCTGCTGCAGAGGCATCCCCTGGAACCAGTTCTTCATTCCAAGATAAGAGTTTTCCTTTCTTAACTAAGCCCTACTTTGTCGGTTGAAGAGGAAAGATGTCTAACCCGTTTTTCTCTCTCATGAATACAGAACACAGCTTTCCCATCACCGAAATTCCTGGTGTTTTACTAACTCCTAACTTCTAAAGCACCTAAGAAAAAAGGATCACTGGCAGTTTGAGCTTTTAATCTACAATTAAAGCAAACACCGTTGATATTTAAAGTTGGTTTTGTTTTGTTTTGTTTTTTCCTGTGGCCAGCTGTTTGATAAAGACTTTGCAAACCAGTTCTCCACTTGTTTCTATAAGATGTGAAAAGGTCCTTTGTTAGCAGCACATTGCGATGGAATGAGCTTTATCTTTTGTAAGTAACTAGGAGCAAATGGGAGAATCAATTGCTCTGCCCGGGTGCTGCAGTCCCTTTGGTGCTTCTGGAGGCGCCTGTTTGGACCGAACAAAAGCTGACCTGGCTGTGACCTGGGTAACCCAGAGCAGCCCCAGGATGCTTGCTCTCCGAATTGTACGGGTCTGTGCAAGGAGAAAAGGCCTGGTAGGTGTACCCCGAATCTGGTGTTCTGAATTGCTCCTTGCAGTGTGACTTGCTAGTCACACAAAGTTTTGCAGGCATCTGGCAGACCTGGGGTACCTGGGGATGGCCCGAGACTTTGAGCTTGGCCAAGAACAATGTTTTGGTTGCAAATCTACAGCTGTTTCTTACATGGGAAAAAAAAAAATCATCTCAGGTTTTATTCGGAACAGGTCTCATCCTGCACAGTTGTGGGGAGGCTTTGGAGAGTAAGTAGTTTAAGGTCTTTCCCCTTGGTCAGCGTGAGCATCTGGGTGAGGGAGCTGTCAGATGCATCCCTGGGTGCTAATTGAAAGATGAACCCCATCAGCATTTAAAATATTTACTGGTAAAGTAGAAAAGGCTTTCTTTCAGTTAGGGTGAAAGAATCAAAATGTCCTTTAGGGGGTTGGTCTGTTGGCAGATGCATGTTATTAATAATAATAATAATAAAAAAATATAAAATGCTTCAATTTGGCTGCTTGTAAGGGTTATGTATGTGGGTGTGTGTTTCAAAAGCACATAACTGATTATAAAAATCATTGATGGGTTAAGTCGGTATTAAGGATGGTTGAATGACAGTGAAAAGCAGCCCTGGCACATTGCAGGGATGTTCTTGTCATGACTAACCCCTCTCACTCTCACCGCAGTGGAATTTTTTAGTGCCCAGCACAGACAAGCACTGAAATTGCAGGTTTGTAGAAGATTTTTAACTCTCTCCCCAGCTGGCAGCAAATAAAGGAATTGCAAGTATTTATTGGTTTAAGGGAAAAAAAATAACCTCAAAGCTATAAAATAAATTTGACAATGAAGCTTTTTAAGGGAGTCTTGACTTTATGGGTTTGTGAGTCAAATGTGTCAAAGCCTGACAAAGGAAGAGGTTTTAATCTACAGGTGCTGTCTCTTGCTTGATGGTTTCCTGTTTCTAAAATTACTTCCAGCTTTTTTGGAATCGGGGCTAAAACTAGTTTCGCCTTGCAGTTTGTGGTCACCCTCCCTGACTACTTCAGCAGGCAGGATTTGCAAGGGTTGGGGACAGCAAATGCAAGTGCTTTTAAAGATTCTTAGCTTGGCTGCCAAAACTCCATTTGTCACTTTTAAAATATTTACAGCTGAATCTTGAGATTTGCATCTTCCTCTGCTTGGGGAAAATGCTGAAGCTGCTGATGCTAAAATTTCTCTTTGACCTTTCTTTCCCTGTCCTAACCCCTTTTGCAGCATGTATTTTCTTTTCTTAGGGGCTGTCCCTCTACTGGGGCACTTACTAATGCCATTTGTACTCAAACTTTATGCCCTTACTGTAGGCCATCTAACTGGGGATACACAAGGCCATATTTCTGTTTGTTTCTATAGGTAAATAAATATTTATATATTTTTTAAGATCTGGAATAATCCTGCTAGTATGTCTTGAAAGATCATCTGTTTGTTACTTTGAAATATTGCTCTGAATTTTATATTGACTGAAGCATCACAGTCATACTTTCAGAATGAAGATCTTTCTTAATGTGTGATCTTCACTTTTCCACGAGCGCCTGCATCTGCACAGTAAATACTGAACTGTATGCTGATTTACTGTGCTCTTCAGGTTGCAAAGAAGCAGTGAACTATCACAAGACATGCTGCCGTAAAAGCCAGGAAAGCAAGAGGTATCTGCTTGGCTTCCCACTCCTGTGCGCTGCTTTGAGGAGCTCCTTGCAGAGCCGAAGGTGTCGACAGGCTGTTTTCTTGGGCTCCCATCTACTGAGCAGCATTATGTGGATTAATACTGAGGAACTCTTAGTGAAATTTGTCTCATGCCATGAAAATGTAAAGCCTCCAAAGCTGGCTGGCATCCCAGGGCTGCGAGAGGCCCTTGGAGGGGGTCCTGGTGAAGGTGGCAGGATTTGCACTGTCCCAAAGCTGTGAACGGGACATGATATGAAGAGTTTCTAATTGAGATTTAATCATCTCCAAGCTGGTCTGGTTGCTGACTTTGGACAGCAGACAATAACTGCTGGGCAGGAACGGCTGCCGTGGGGCCAGCCTGCCACCATGGGAGGACATCTTCTGGTTCTGCAGCGTGGAGCCCAGTTCAGAAAGATTCTGCCCAATCTTTGGTTCTGCAGCGTGGAGCCCAGTTCAGAAACACAGAATGCCATTTTGGGCAGTATTTTATTCTGAGGGTGTTTCTTGAGCTGGAAGCAAACCTCTCACCTGATCTCCTAGTTTTTCCCTGGCAATGTTTTGGGGATCCCATGGTTTTACTGGCTCTGCTTTTGCAGGGTACCATAATTGCTCTACCTCCTGGTTTTTTTTTACCTTTGCAATATCAAAGCCAGGAGGTTGGATTAGAGACCTGAGTTGCCAGCAGCAAAAAGGGGACCTGAGTGTGTGCAATAAAAAAACCTTATATATATTTTTATAAAGATTATTGTAGACAAGTTGGGGGACGAGGCACAGCTGCATTCCAGCCCTGTGCCATAGTGCCACTGGAAGGTGGATCTCTTTTCACAATCCAGGTGAGAGGTCTAGCTTCAGCACAGTTTGCCTGGCTAGGGGCATTCACTGGGGTGCTGAGTGATGCTGAGACCCTTGCACTGCCCTGGCTCCCTGAAGGCTACAGGGGCTTTTGCTGCTTTTTAGCTTGGCCCCCTCCATAGTGTGGATGTGCCTGCCTGCAGGCTGGCAGCATCCGAATACTGAATTGCCATCATCCTCCCCACTGGCACCATCACTTGGCTTTTATTAAGCTGTTTTGCAAAGAGCAACTCTTCCTTCTCGGGCCCCTGTGTAGTTTTATCCAGGGCTACATTTGCATCACCGTCAGGTGGTTTTCATTTGACCCTCGCCCTGCTTAAAAATTAAATACCGAAGTACTAGAAGAGAAGTAATCTCCCAGATAAGCACTTTTCCCCTGCTCTTCTGTAATTCACGGGGGAGCTGGCTTACCCTGCCTGTGGATGACTAAGGAGGAAATTCTTTTTTGGTTAGGATAATGCTGACAGTTCACTGGAATTTTTTTTATCAAGGGTTTATCACTTCCTCCCTTCGAATTCCTAATTCTTATGTGCAGGGCAGGAAAAAAAAATAGTGGTGACCACAAGTTATGGAATTTGCCTTCTGTGGAAAAGATGCTGAACAGCTAAATGATG